CCGCCCCCCTTTTTTTTCCAAATGATTTTGAGTTTTGTTCTACATTGTTCTCCCTCTCTATCCAGGATCTCCTACATAGATCCCCCTCCAAGTGGTTGACAGTGGTAGCTGGGTACCATCTACTTCTTCCAGTCTCATAGTCATATAGGCTGTGGATCACATGGTATACCAGTTGTTTGGACTAATTGTTTCCATGAATCTTTGGTTTTCTTCACTCTTCTTTGCTCTGGGTGAGGAGAGACCCATCATTGCATCTAGATGGCTGCTTGCAAGCTTTTAAGATCCCAGTCACTATTCACCAAAGTAGGAGGTGGAACAATATTTTGTGTAGTATATTATGCCAATTGAGCTTGATTTCTCCTGTGACCATGGTCCTGAGCCCACAAGAGGGTGTGTTTTGCATGTTGTTGGTGTGGGAGGATGTGTTTTGCATGTTGTTGGTGTGGGAGGGTATGCTTTGCATGTTGTTGGTATAGGAGGGTGTGTTTTTCATGTTGTTGGTGTGAGAGGGTGTGTTTTGCATGTTGTAGGCATGGGTAGGTGTGTTTTGTATGTTGTTGGTGTGGGTGAGTGTGCTTTGCAGGTTGGTGTGGGTGGGTGTGTTTTGTATGTTGTTGGTGTGGGTGGGTGTATTTTGTCTTTATCACACAAGAGTAGCATACTAAATATACTGGACACATTTGGAATAATTTGTGAATAAAAATAAAGATGAGAATTTTGTTACACACCATGGATAAAACTGGAAAGCCCAAAAACAAATGCATTTCCTTCAAGTTGATTTTGAACCAAACAGAGTCCAGTTAGTGTGTGCTGGCACAAAATAATGTTTGGAGGACACACCCACCCATGTTGACACAGAGAAGAATTAGCTCAGGGGGTTGCAGATGAGGAGGAAAGCTCTTTCCGATCGCAGGTCCACCCCGAAATGTAGAAGCAGCGGTGGCTTTTTTAATCACTGTTTTTAACTGTCACAGTAAAAGCTTATTCAGACAAGAGTCACATTGGACGTGGAACCATAGAGTGAGAGGGTTGGCAGACAGCACACTCGCCCATTCAAACCCTCTCACGCACACGCTCACTGCTGTCGAGTCAACTCTGACTCACAGCGACCTCCACTGAGTTCCCAAGGTGGGAAATCTCTACGAAAGTAGATCGCCCCGTCTTCCTTCCATGGAGCTGCTGGTGGGTTTGAACCACCAACCTTCTGGCTAGCAGTCAAATGCCTTAGGTACCATTCCACCAAACCATCTCAGTAATTAATAATTACAAAGCCAACAGGTACAAAAGGAAGGATGTCTTGGGGGTAGTCAGGAGCCACAAAGAACAGGCTGGGAGCCACAAGGCACAAGTGGCCAGAGACATGCCCACCCCAGAGCAGGGAGACCTGGCGCCCCTCTCCCCAGAGCAGGGAGACCTGGTGCCCCTCTCCCCAGAGCAGGGAGACCTGGTGCCCCTCTCCCCTGGGACACCAGTGACAGGAGCAAAGAGGGTGGGTGCAGAGGCCCATGTCTCCTTGACAAGAGGTGAGGATGGGAGGGCCTGGGAAGAGGGGACTGGTCTGCTGTCTGCTCTCTGTGGCCACCGTGGCCCTGGGCTCCACACTAGCCGTGGCTGGGAGTCTCCAAGCCCCTCTGGGTGAGCAGCGGGTGTGAGGGTGGTAATCCAGAGCCGGAGATGGGGGACCACAGTGGAGTCCTCAGGGAAGGGCCAAGGGCGCTGGGCTCATGGTAGAACGGTGTTTGCGCAGGAAGCTGTGGGGGGAGGGACACTGAGGGGCCGGGCTGCTCCCCACCGCAGCCCCGCGAGCATGCGCCAGCTGTGCCCTGCAGCCCCAGCCCTCTGGCCATGACCACGTGCCGCCTGCTCGGGGACCCTGAACCAACGGGGGGCTAGGTCCCACACTCTTTGCAGGCTCAAGGATGTAGCCAGCTCTGGCACAGAGCACCAGGCTGGCAGGTGGAGAGAGAGACCACACCATCCCCATTCACGACGGCTTATGGTCCTGACACTTGACGAGATGGGTCCGTGCCTCCCCCTGCCCCACACAGAAATCCACCCTCCAGGAGGATGGCCAGGTGGCCAGGAGTGGCTTTGGCCCAGACAGAGGTGACACACTACCGTCTTTGGGAAGGATGGCTGCGTGTTCCAGGAGAGCCAGGCCCTCGGCTGCGTCCACGAAGTCTCTGATGCTCAGGAAACTGGAAGTGATCTGCCGGCCTGGAGCCAGGGCAGCATCAGTGCCCGGCACGGTTCGGGGCTGCCCTGACCCCCACCTCCAGATGCCCCGAGCGTGGGGCACGAGAAGCAGAGCATTCGGCCCAGGGAACCCCGCCCTGGAGGGACCCCATTCCCGCGCTCTAGGTGGGCGTCCCTGACCACCAGGCAGCCCCTCTGCCCACAGAGCCCCTCGGCCTAGTGCTTCCCGTCCCCAGCCCCGCACCCTGCACAGGAGCCCCTGCCCCCACCTTCTCAAAGGTGCCCACCTCCTGCTTGGCTGAGGCCTCCCCAAGGACCCCACTCCACTCCCGTCCCTGTGAAGGCCGCCCATCTCCACACACCCGCGGGTCTTGCGTCTGGAGGGACCTTTGTCCCCCGTCCCTGCCTCGTCCCAGCAGGACCTCCACCCAGCTGCACCATCATCACCCCCAGCCTCCCCCATGGCCATGGTCTCAGGAGGACTTTGGCATCCGGGCTCGTCCCCTGTGCCCCTAACCCTGTTGACACCGTGTCCACACCTCTCCCTTTCCCCACCTGCCCTCTGCAGTGCCCCTCCATGCCACTCACCCCTCCTGAGGTCATGCCCAGGACCCACCTCTGTGACCTCCACCCCAGTGCCCCACCCCTGACTGCTCCTCCACCAGAACATCTGGAACTCCCCGCCAGCCATACCACCACCACCCCCCGCCCACCTGGCTCACCTGCCCACTTGGACGGTGCTCCCAGCCGGAGGCAGCCTCTGGGCCTGGCTGGCCTCCTGGTGCTCGGCGCCGCCCACCCGGTGCATCCCCAGCCACCCCGCCCCCCACCCAGCTGCCAGCCACTCACTGAAAAGCAGAAGGTTTTTGTACTCGCGGCCGGCCCGGCCCAGCCGCACGTAGACCACGGCCGAGCTGTAGTCAGTGGACAGCACTCGGAAGCCCTTGACCCCTCTCACTGGAAGAGACGAGACCCCTGGACCCCCAGCCTGGGCCCAATCGCTGCTTCTCTGTGCTCCCCAGCCTGAGCCCAAGCCCACTGCAGACATCACAGGGCTGGCGTGTCTGACCCCATTTCCCCCACCAAGGCCCGTGGGGCGTCTGCTCTAGGGGGACAAGGCCTGGGACCAAGGCCAGCCTGACCTTAGTTCCAAGTGCTTGGCCCACTGGCTGCGTTCTCTCAGGGACAGAGGGGTGGCCGGGGGTGTTTGGTCAGGGCTGGATGTGGGGAGCGCACCCATGCCTTCTGCCCTCTGCAGTGCTCCGCCACCACTCACAGGCATTCCTGAACACGGCTTTCTTGTTGTCCTTCCTCAGAGTGACCGTGTGGGACTGGCAGCCCTGTGACCTGCTCAGATCGCAGCCGTGAGCATGCTACCAGGAAGGCTCTCCCTCCACCCCTGCCTGTGAGCCCCTTCCAGGAAGCCCCCCTTCCCTGGCTCTGCCCCTCTGCCCCTCAGCCCCCCAGACTGGGGGGTGGGTTCAGCAGGGCTGGGCAGCATTTGGCCATCATGTCACCCCAAATGGTCGCGGATGAAGGCTCTCCTGGCCAGGGATTTTCCATTCTGGACCAGGGCCTGCCCCCAGCTCAGGGAGACCTGCAAACACCTGCTGCCGGATGGGCATGCTGCCAGCGGCACTCAGCACCACTGCTTGTCCCAAAGCAGCAGCCCTCTGAACTTTAGGGCAAAGGGGGCTCCCCGGAAGGAAGCCGCCTGCCAGTCTGCAACAGACAGTGTCTCTAAGAGAGCTGTGGAGGCTGCTGGGGCCACTCACCGGCTGAAGGCAATGACCACCTTTAGCTGGCCGGCCTTGGGGATCCGCACCATGGATGCTCCCAGCTTCCTCTTGTCTTTGCCCGGCAGGAAGCCCTTGGCATCAGTGGCGATGGCCAGAATGTACCAGAACCCTGAAAACTGGAACAAGGCGTGGGTGCCACTCCTCAGCCCCTGCAGGGCTCCTAGCCGGGATAGAGAGCTGGCTGGCACAGCCCAGTCCCGGCACAGCGGCCAGCCCCAGGCCCCTCTGCTCAGCCCCGTGTGGACGGGCAGCTGCCCCTTGGTCGTGCCCCCTGGATCCCAGGCCCCTCCCTGGACCAAGGGCTGCCCTGCCCCCTCCCTTCTAGCCTGCCCAGCCCCCACGCCCTAGGCACCTGGTCAGCACTGCTCCCCCATTTGGTCTGCCTGCATCCTGGCCGCCCGCCCACATCCACCCCCACGGAACCCTCTGCCTGGCCAGCCTGTCCTCATTATCCCAGAACCAGGCCTGCTTGTTCTGCCTCTCCTCTGCCTCCAGCAGCCCAGGGCTCGTCCCTGCCCTTCCTTAGGGCCCCATGGCCCCATCCTCGTGTCCTCAGAACTCTGACTTTGCAGCCAGGACTGGGAGTTAAGCTTTGCAGCTGTGCCCAGCCCTGAAGAGGAGTGGGACAGTGCCAGTGCCTCCCAGCCTAACAGGTGGCCCCCAAGGCTGGGGCTGCAGGTGGGCAGGCCCAGCCCCTTAGTCCCTGCGGCCTTGCATGGCTGACAGGGCGCCAGGGCTGTTTCTGGATGACACTCCCTCCCGCCTGCGCATCCCTCCCTCTGACCTGGGGTCCAGGCCCGTGGGCTACCTTGCTCCAGTTGATGTTGTGAGACTCCTTGGGTACATGCTCCTGCGTCCGGGATGTGCCTACCAGCACCAGGATCAAGAACAGGAACAGCAGCCCTGGCCTCATCCTCTCCCGCCTCCTGCAGCCGTGGTTCCAAGGCTGGGCACCGTGTTTAAACCCCCCTGGCCCTGCCCAGCCCTGCCTAGCTCTGTGGGCACCTGCCAATCCCAGAGCTGCAGCCTAGCTGGAATGGGGCAGGAGGGACCAGGCGGCAGGGGAGCCGGGCTTTAGGCTCTGCTCCCAGCACCTCCCTGCAGGGGGAGGACAGAGAGCAGAGAGCGGACCCTCAGTTTGTTGCAGGAACCCGTCTACAAGGCTGGCCCCGGCCCTGGCCCCGGCTCTTGGCTGAAGAAAAATTACTTTTTTTTTCATTGTGATTTGGGTGAAAATTTACAGAGCAAATTCACTTTCCATACAGCAGTTCACATACACTTTGTCTCATGACATTGACCACAATTTACCACAATGTAACAGCTCCCCTCCCACTTCCTTCCCATAGTTACCTCTTTCCTGTGTCCTTCCCTCCATGCACTCCTGCCCCCTGAGCTGTCTCCTGTGCATAAGCAGCCCTTCTTTCTCCCATGATTGTTCTCTCCAAGGAGTGTATCTACATCAGGTAAATGTTCAACTCATATGCCTATTGATTGGCTGGAAGCCATAGGAGTGGGTTCAATTCCAGACCTGAAGGGCAGCTAGGGGCCATAGTCTCAGTGGTTCCACCAGGCTCTATTGGACCAGCAAACCTGGTCCCCCCTTTTTTTTCCCCAAATGATTTTGAGTTTTGTTCCACATTGTTCTCCCTCTATCCAGCATCTTCTACATAGATCCCCTTCCAAGTGGATGACAGTAGTAGCTGGGCACCATCTAGTTCTTCTGGTCTCATAGTTGTATAGGCTGCAGATGGGATGGTGTACCAGTTGCTAGGACTAATTGTTTTCATGAATTTTTGGTTTTTGAAGACCAATTGCATTTTGATGCCACATAGAATCGCCCTCTGTCCTCAGAGTTTCGAGAATCCAAAAGCCCCCATGCCCCTCTCCACAAACCCACCTACCCTGTTCTTAAAGCCTTCTGGAAGGAGGGAGACATGACCTGTGTGAGCTCCTCACCCACAGTCCAGAGCCCTCAGGGTGCAGAGAGCCTGGGAAGCCACTGGCTGCCACCTGGTATGCACTAGGTGCTCACTAAGTGCTTTTCTCCATTGTGGGAAAGTACGTGGTCATGGAACGAATTGTGTCTACCAAAAACACATCAGCTCAGCTGGGCCACACCTCTCCGGGGTCTGGCTGTTCTGTAATGATGTAATCACCCCCATAATGTGCTCTGATGTGATCAATCAGCTGCAGGGGGATTAGGGTGGGGTGCAGCACCCCTGCTTGGGTCACTGCCCTGATCTCATGTAAAGGGAGGGCCCCTGGGGTGCAGCCTGCACAAGAGGTAAAAGGAGAGAGAAGGGAGCAGAGAGAGAGGGACCTAGTACCACCAAGAAAGAGGAGCTGGAAGCCTTTGGACATGGGATCCCTGTGCTGAGAACCTTCTAGAGCCAGCAGAAGACTGATGCCAAGACATGGAGACCTCCAAGGGGCACAAACCCCCAGATGCTGAAAGGAGACAAGGGCCTTCCCCTAGAGCCAACAGAGAGCCTCCCCCAGAGCTGGCGCCCTGAATCCGGGCTTCCTAAACTGCGAGAGAATGTATTCTGCTGTGAAAGCTCCCGCTGTGGTGTTCTGTTACAGCTGCAGTACATGACTAAGACCCAGCATGACATTTGCGGCTTCCTCATTTTAACTGCACACCTGGTGGCGTTAGCACATCACAGCGTGTGCGGCCCTGACCCCGTCGTCCACGGTCCCGCAGTGTGTGTGTGTGTGTGGCCTTGACCTCATTGAAGGTTCCCCAGTGTGTGTGTGCAGTTCTCACCCTGTCAGCAGAGTTCTCACAGTGTTGTGTGTGTGCGGCCCTGACCCTGTCAAAAGTCCCCCGTGTGTGTGTGTGTGTGTGTAGCTCTGACCCCATTGAAGGTTCCCCAATGTGTGTGTGTGCAATCCTCACCCCACCAAAGGTGTTCCAGTGTGTGTGTGCAGCCCTGACCCATTGAAGTTTCCCCCAATGTGTGTGTGTGTGTGCAGCCCTCACTCTGTTGAAGGTCCCCTGATGCATGTGTGTGCATGTGGGTGTGGGTATGGTAACACTTCATATTTTTCTTTTTAACTCCCAGTTTCTCTTCCCCCTAGCCCCTGCTTGGTGGAGCCCAGGCTGCCTGTGTTCACATGTGTGCATGCATACACATGTGTGCATGTGCTGACATGTTTTGTGGATGTTTGCATGTGCGTCAATATGTACGTGTATTTATGTGCATGTACATGTTGCATGTACATACTGTGTACATGTGTGTGCATGTGTGCACGAATACATGTGTGCACATGTATAGGTGTATGCGTGTGTGCATGAGCATGTGCACATGGGCATCTGTGCACTGTGTGCATGTTCCACATATGTGCAGGTATATTCATGTGCACATGGGCATTGATATGTGCATGTGTTCATGGGCATGTATACAAATATATGCATATGGGCATGTGTGCACTGTGTGGATGTGTTCACAGCATGTGTACATGTGTGTGCATGTGGGCATAGATGCACTGTGTACATGTGTGTGTCCACGTGCTTGCATATATGCGTGCACATGCATAAATGTGTGCATGTGTTCACAGGCATGTGGGCACTATGTCCATGTGTGTGCATGTATACACATGGATGCATGCACATGCACTTGTGCCCTGCCTCAAGGAGTGTGTTGCCCACCTGGGCACTTCACCTCCACCATTCTTAGCCCACCTTCACCCACAGCCTAAGCATCAACGAAGACTTGGGCCGGGGCTTTTCCAGAACATGGAGGGCCAGACAGGAGCCAGGTTTGGGGGCCCAGCCCAGGAAGCCTGCCCCGCAGCAGCAAGGGTCCATGCCCAGAGGAAGCTCGGTCTTGGAGAGTCACAGGTACCCTCCTGGCCCCACCTGGTTGGACCAGAACCGACCTGCTGCCCTCCCCCTGGGCTATCCCTGGACACCATGGCACCAACCCAGGGATGCTGGTGGGCACTGGTGCCAGCTTTCTCAGCCCAGAGGCCACACCATGCCCATCCTGTCCCTGGGTCTCCCCCCCCCCAGTCTGCCCACTGCCCACATCAGACTGCTGCCTCACTTGCCTGCCCCAGCTTGCCACCTCCCAGGCAGTCCTGAGTGTGGGTGTCCTCAGACCTAAGGGCCCAGAGGACACAGTGCTGGTGAGTTGTCTTGTCCAGGAACGGCTGTGATGCTGACTTCATAGGGCCTGAAGTTGCTCCCCAGTGACCGCTCCCACCCTCCTCACCACCCCGACTGGAGCCCAGGGGACCACACCTATGCCTGCCTGTCCTTCACGTGCCCTTGCCCTGGGCAGTGCCTGACACACAGTAGAAAAGGCATTGGCGGGTGAGGGTTTGGTAATCACTTTATTCCAATCCAGAGCTAGGGTCAGCGGGAACAGTTGCCCGGCAGCCGGCACCTGGCTGGCCTCTGCGGATCCTTGCAGACACTCTCCCCGCTGGGGGACCTCGGCACTCACTGCAAACCAACCGAGTATCAGGAGCCCTCTGGACTCAGCCAACCCTCAGCCACAGGCTAGTCCTGGCCATCTGTGGCTTCCTCCCGCAGTGCCGGAGCCCAGGGCTAAGGCCGAGACAGCCTACCTGCAGGATCTTGTGGGCACAGGTGACTGCAAGGGGAGAAGACAGGCTGTGAGGAGCAGTACTCGGTTCCCCTCCGCTCCTAGGACAGGCTGCAGCCCTGCCACCCAGTGTCCACAGGCCCTCCCAGCCCCCTAACACTAGAGATGGGGCCATCTTGTGGGCCTCACTTTGGGCACGGGTGGGTGATTCCTTGGAGGCCTCTCTCAGCCCTGTCAGGTTCTCTGGGGCATGGGGGGACCCAGGACCGGCAGAGCAGTCCCCCTCCGGCCACCCTGGCACTCACAGTCCTCCTGCAGCCTGGCCTGCTGCTGGGCCAGGTAGCCCAGGGTCCTGCTCCACTTGGAGAAGAGGCTTGTGGCCTCTGTGCTGGCCACCGTGGTCCGACCTGAGGATGGTGGGGGAATCCCTGAGAGCCAGCGAGGGGGGACAGTGGCAGGGCCGTGAGCCGGGCTTGCCCACCGCCACCCCCTGTCTGGAAGGCCCTCTCCACACTGCACCCTGTCTCCCCCCTCCCAGGTGGCCCAACAGAGGAAGGGGAGCTGGGGATGAAGAAAGATGGCGGGGACCCCACTTAGCAATTTTGTGCAGGAAGAGAGAGAAGGTGCATCCCCCCGAGTGGCAGCAGGACCAGCATCTGCCACCAGGCCCATCCCCTCAGCCAGCTGCTGTCTCTGGCACTCCGATGGGCAACTGAGCCCCGAGGCCCAGGAGACCTTGCACCCTGGGACGGTGGCCCCAGGCCCTCTAACTGGGCCCCTTCTGGGCCCTGGAGGTTGGGAGGATCCCCAGCCCCAACACAGTTCAGCTGATGGCGCCTGGCCCGCACCTGTCCTCGAGTGGGGTCCCCTCGGCCCGCCATGGCTCCTTACTGTACAGCTCCACGGTGTTGAAGGACTCATCCCCCAGCCCCAGCTGGCTGAAGACGATGGCATAGTCTTTGAAGTTGGTGCTCAGCACCCGGTACTCCAGCACGCCCAGGGCTGAAACCAAGGGCGCCTGCTGAGCTGGGTGGTCCCGACACCACCCAGGCCACATCAGCACCCGTGATGGACAGACAGAAAAACAGACAGACTGACCAATGCCTATCCCACCAGGAAGAGGGCAGCCCCATCAGGACCCTGGTCCTACACACAGTGGTGGGGAGACCCTTAGGCATCCAGGGGTATCAAAGTGAGGCTAGACTCAGTCCTGCGTGGCTCAGAGCTGGGCACCCTGTCCAGGGACGTCCACCCTCAGGACTGGCACTGAACCCGTGAGTGAGTCAGGTCCTTGGACTCCCTCAGGAATGGTGTTGGCCCATGCCCACCAGCATTGACCCTGTCTATGGGCCTGGGGGTGCTGCAGGAGCCAGGGGGCCAGAGCAGGCCTGGCCCAGGGAAGGCCCTGACCTCGCACTTACAGGGATTCTCAAACACCCATCCAGATCCTTGCCTCAGCAACTCCATGACGGTCAGATTGCATCCCTCCAGCCTGAGAGGGGAGGGGCTGATGTCAGCTCAGGCTCGAAGCCAGAACCTGGGCGAGGGGCATGGGTAGCCCGGCCACCCAGACGTGTGCATGGGGTTTCTGTTTCTTCCTGTTGCCCTAATTACCCAGAATCCTCTTGTTGGCTTTCTGGAAACCATCCAGGGAGGTGGCTGGCCCAGATAGCCCCTTCAATGTGCAGGCCAGCTCCATCCACTCCCCAGGGAGCTATTACCTGCTGTGTGGAGAAACTGACCCCCTTGTCCATCTGTCTGTCAGTGTCTCATACTGTGGTGGCCTGTGTGTTGCTGCGAGGCTGGAGGCTATGCCACCAGTATTTCCGATCCCAGCAGGGTCGCCCGTGGGGGACAGGTTTCAGATCCCAGCAGGGTCGCCCGTGGGGGACAGGTTTCAATCCCAGCAGGGTCGCCCGTGGGG